AAAGAAAATAAGTCTGTCTAGTGATGGGCCTGGAGTCAAGAGGACAAGTTCAAATGCGACCTCAGACACTAGCTGTGTGACTTTGGGCCAGTCATTTAACCACTGCCTGCCTCAGCTTCCTCAACTGGAAAATGGGAATAATAGCACCATCTACTTGACAGAGTTGTTGTGAGGCTCAAATGAGGTAATATTTGTAAAGTGCTTAGCACAATGCCTGGGTAGGAGCCATGTGCCAGGGAGGTAGATGCTTCTTCTCTTCCCTTCCCTTGTGTTTGTTACCACTGGTGATAAATTATCACCCTTCCCCCCTATTTAACTGACTCTTTCGCTTTTTGTTTGGCTATAGGATGAAGCAGTGAGCTTCCCTGCACCCAGCACCATTTACCATACTATTCTGATTTCAGCATGAGCACTACCTTCCATTTCTTCTTAGTTAGAGTTCTTTGTCTATTCTAGGAACAGGTGGCACAAATCTGCCCAGAGGACTGCTGAGAAGACTCTCGGGTGTGTTTTTAGAGACGGCTAAATAAAATCCAAATGTAGTTTAGAAACAAAAGGAACATTCTGTAAAATTGGAGGGAATATTTGCATCTGCCATTAAAAATAGTGGGCTAAACCACATTCCTTTAGCAAGTTTTAGACAAGAAAAATATCAGGGATCTCAAAGAAATTTTTATTAGAATTTACTAGACTTCTGAAAGCACATAAGAAAACAAAAGATAATCCATTTCTGCATCTATCAATACGATACCCAGTGGCTTCCCTCTCTATCTGATTCTTTGCCTGCACTGAAATGAAAACATTGGTCACCCTTCACCGCATGCACTGCTCCTTCAATCGTTGATGCTTCTGAGCACTCTACTCTGGGGCATAAGAGCCTCCATTGAAATGAGAGCTTCTCACATTATTGTGCCAACAATAAAAATTTAAAATCTTTACTCTAGGATATTGTCGGTCTGCAGACAGTAATGGAATCGTCCTTGACTTCAGATGCAAAAGCATATTCATTTCCTGTTAGGCTGAGGGATGCTAATGGACTTTCAACTGCAGTTCTTCTTTTAATGACTTGTTCTAGTGGAGATATAGACAAAGACAAAGACGGGAACAACAATGCCATCTTCTGGCTTAGCTCCTAGGAGAAAGGGTACTGTTGGAATGTGCTGAAATAAAACTCCATGTTTTGGAGACCCAGAAATTTGGGCTCAGTAACTGGCCTTGCTGGTCCCACTCCCAATTTCCAGGACGACACGCAGGTAAATTCAGGTTTGGAAATTCAATAAATCATCAAATGGACCTGGGAAGTGAGGCATGGGGAGAGTGAGAACAGGGAGCAAAGCACCTTTGTTTATGAACCCAGAAAATAATTTTAAATATTCTCTTCACTTGGAAACCTTGAAGAATGTTTTAAATACACCAGTAAATAAAGCAATGATTGGTCATGCCTATACACATGTTCAGATGAAGTCATTGTCATAGAGAAGAGGTCAAAGGATTGAAAAATACAGTTTTTAGAAAAGTTCTTAATCTTTTTGTATGTTATGGACCCCTTTGGCAGTCAAAAGAAGGATTATTCTCAAAAAAATAGTTTTTAATATTTCAAATAAAATGCATAGGGATTATAGAGGAAACAAATTATATTGGAATGCATTTCTGTACAATTTTTTAAAACAAATTAATGGACCCCAAATTAAGAACTCCTTTTTCAGATGGTCAAAAACATTGGTTTTAGATCTGGAAGGGACTTCCCAGGCCATCTCACCAGTTTTACACATGAGGAAACTGAGGTCCAGAAAGATTAAATGACTTGCCTACAGTCACGCAGGCAGTGAGTGTCAAAGGTGGGATTTGAACCAAGGTGTTTTGATTTCAGTGTAAATAATTAGCAACCAGACAAAAAGTGCATCAAATAACAAATAATAGAAATGCAAATTACAACTCTGAGGTTTCATATCACACCTATCCAATTTGGAAATATGATAAAATAAAGAAATGGTTAATGTTGGAAAGGGCTTGGGAAAATTGGAGCAGTATGTTGAATCAGAGGATAGGTAGATTTGGGAACCAGGAGAAACTGGGTTTGAATTTTGCCTCAGAAACGTATTGTATTAATTATGTGAACCTGGGTAAATAAGCCTCTTAATCACTGCGAGCTTCAGTGACCTCACCTGTAAAGTAGGCATAATGATAGCATCTACTTCCCAGGATTATTTGTTGTTGTTCAGTTGTTTTTAGTCATGTCCAACTCTTTGTGACCCTGTTTGAAGTTTTCTTGGCAAAGATGCTGGAGTGGTTATGCAATTTCCCTCTCCAGCTCATTTTACAGATGAGGAAACTGAGGCAAATAGGGTTAAGTGACTTGTCCAAGATTACACAGCTTGTAAGTATCTGAGGCTCAGGAAGATGGCTCATGACCCAACTCCAACCCCACCAGGATTATCACAAGATTAAAATGAAACAATGCTTCTAAAGCCCTTTGCAGATCTTTTTTTTTAACTTTGCAGATCTTAAAGAGCTATATAAGGACGCCTGTCATTATTATTACAAATATTCTGTTGATGGAATTTTCAGTTAGTGTTACTATTCTAGAAAACAATTTGGAATTACATAAGAAAGATTACTAAACTGTTTATATCTGACTGCTTTGGGCAAATATCCCAAGAAGGTAATTGACAGAAAGATCATCTACACATCAGAATAGTCACCAATAGTCCTTTTATAATAGCAAAAAACTGGAAACAAAGATAGTTTCTGTCAATTGTGAAATGAATGAACTATGTATGATATATGAATATAATTAGATATTATGACCATGTAAGAAACCACAAATATGAGGAATTCAGAGAAACATGGGAAGATGAACAGATGTACTACAAAAAAAAACAGAGGCAAGAAAACTATGTAAAAATGAAGTAAAATAATGCAAGTAAAAACAAACATTGAAAGATTAATTTAAGTGAGCAATCTTGGTTCCAGAGAATAAAGGATCCTTCCTCTCAAGAGAGAGGTGGGGAACCATGGATGAGGAATATGGCGTGCCTTCTTAGATTTGGTGCTTTGTTGGCAGGTTTGTTTAACTATTTTACCTTGTTACAAGGGAAAGTTCAACAGCAGAAATCACTACAACATAATAAAAATAAGCATCAGTGAAAATTGGGGGAAAAAAATCATTATCTGAGGAAAGTGGAAGGAGTCACTATATTTGACCAAAGGGAAAGACTAGAGATCTGTCACCTGCCTCACCATATTGAAGACATAAGTAGTGAGATATTTGGCAAAGGACTGGCATAGTCAGAGAGTGAGATGATTATTATAACCATAATATTCTATAGTAGGCAGATTCTCACATTCTCAGCAGAAAATGTCAAGAAACACAATGAGGCTTATATGGATGGGGGAGAAGAAAGTCCAAAAAACATGAGGACTCCTGGGTTCTGACTCTGAAATACTATCGTCACGTGATTAATATCTTTCTCTCTTTGTTTTCCCTCTGGGACAACTGCCATGGAGTAAAAGGATAAGGAAAGAGGAAAAGGAAAGGAAAGTGTCAGAATATTAATGACAGTATAATTCTTTCCTCAGGTAAACTAGGTATAGAGAACAGAGGTCTGGCTACATCACTTTTCTGCTGAAGAATATTCAATGGCTCCCTTTTGCCTCTGGGATTATATATAAACTCTGGCTACAACTTTTTGTTCCAGACCTATTTATATTTCTCCTCTTCATATATTCTGTGTTCCAGCCAAGTCAGCTTATAAATTATTCCTCAAATGTGGCACTCTCTCTCCTGTCCTCTTGCCTTACCATTGGCTATCCCCATCTTTCCACCACCCCTCCTCCCTCAGAAGGCTGAATTTTGCTGCAACCCAGGAACACACTGCCCAGGAATCCCCACCCCCCTTCTCTTTCTAAAAGCTGAATTTGGGAATTCTAATTCATGTGGTTTCCAAAGAGGCAACCCCCATATTGACAGAAACCAGAAAATTCCTTCAAACTTCTCTATTACTATCAAGGGCACTTCCATGTTTCTAGGTTCACAAGGTTAATGCCAACCTCACTCAGCTCCTCACTGACAATCACCTCACATACCTAATATGTTGTTAAAACTTGCCATTTCTATGTCATTTCTTTTATATGTCCCCTCCTCTCCATTCCCACAGCCACCACTCTAGTTCGTACCATCACCTCTCACCTGAATTACTGCAACAGCTTCCTAATTGGTCTCCATACCTCTTCTCTTCCCTCTCCAATCCATCTTCCACAACGCTGCCAAAATGATTTTCCTAACAGCTAGGTATGAGCATGGCAAACCCCATCCCCTGCTCACTTATACACACTCAGTAAATTCTGATTGATCCATATTATCTTTAGGACCAAGTACAAACACCACCATCATTTTAAAATGCTTCACATCTAGCCCCTTCCTACCCTTTCTAGTCTTCTTACATATTATTCCCTTCCACACATCCAGCCATACTATCCCACTTGTTTTCCTCTGTCTCCAGTCTCCATACCTTTGTATTACCTGTCCTCCATGCCTTCCCCCCTCCCCTCTGCCTCTTGGAACTCCTGGTTTCCTTTAAGATTCAATTCAAGTATTACCTTCTATGTGAAAGTCTTTCCTGATTCTCCTCAGATACTTTTTCTCTCCCTCCTAAGAGTACCTGGTATTCATTTACTATATATCCCATATATTCTTAAGAATGTACACATTGTCTTCCTTGGTAGAAGGTAAGCTCCTTGAGGACTAGTCTAACCATTCGGGAAAACAATTTGGAATTACACAAAGAAAGTCACTGAAATGTCTGTGTCCTGTGACTAGAGCTTCAATTGCTAGATACATGCCCCAAGGAGGTAAAAAAAATAAAAGACCCAAACATGTCAAAATATTTGTAACAGCACTTTTTATGATAACAAAGAACTGGAAATTAAGAAGATGTTCACTGACAGGGGAATCTCTAAGAAAACTGTGGTAACAAACATAATGGAATACCATGAATTGCTGGAGGCCAGCACCTGGTAGTGGGCCCCTAACCCCGTGAGATTACCACACCCCAAGCAGCTTGTTCCGGGACAAACCGTACCATAACGTGTTCCTGTCAGGGCTAACCGCAAGATGTCGCCACACCGCCCCTGGAAAGTCCCGGAGGCCCATTTTCCCCTTTTGCCCCTCCCCGCTTTTGCCCTATATAAGCTTGTAACGCTCAAAAATAAAATTAGACCTTGCCTACCATCCTTTTGGTCTCACTCCTCCTTTTCACCCATTCCCTTCAGCCAGGGTCCTCCTCGACCCCCCACGTATACTGGCCCTGCAGGTCGGGGCAAGTGGCGCCCAACGTGGGGCTCGAGGTTCGGACTTCTGCCAGGCGGACCAGCATTGAGAAACGATTCGTCGCGACCCCCTCCTTCTCATCGCTCATGAAGAGCCCCTGCGTTTTGGTAAGTTGAGTTTTCGTCCGCCTCATTCTAATCATGGGTTCCAACCTTTCTAAGGAGCAGGTCTTTATCCCAAGACCTTAAGCATGCCCTTAAGGAGAGAGGAGTTAAAGTTAAGAAAAAGGACCTTTTGAAATTCTTTCTTTTTGTAGATGAGGTCTGCCCTTGGTTTATGGTTACCGGCCCAGATATTCATCCGGGAAAGTGGCAGAAGGTCGGGAGAGACCTCAATAGAAAGTTGCAAACTGAAGGGCCAGAGGCGGTCCCTCCCTCGGCTTTTTCTTACTGGGGTATCATCAGAGACATAGTGGAATCTGCCCCTGGGGACCCAGGCAAGCGCCAACTCCTTTCGGTGGCAGAGTTTTGTTTACGCCCCTTGTCGCGGGCAGCTTCTGTTAAATCGCTACAGCGCCCTTTATCACGAACCGCCTCTACAAAGTCATTAGAATCAGTGGGAAAAAGTCCCCCTAGACCCCCCCTCCGTGGTCATTACCATTCCGCCGGAACCTCCAAAGCCTCTTTATCCTCCCCTCCCTGTGGAAACGGTCCCGGCTACTGAACCTTTAACACTGCCTATAATTGCAAAACACAAAACTCCTCCTTTAGGAGATCCTGACCCTGATACTCTAGATCCCGGGGACGAGGCGGAACTGGAGGAAGAAGCCGCCCGATATAATAACCCGGACTGGCCCATAACTCCCCAGTACCTACCCCCTCCCTACATGTCCCAGACTTGCGCTCCTGCGCTTTTGCCCCCCATTCCCACTTCCTCAGCCCTCACATCCGCCAGAAGTCAACTCTCCACTCAAGTTAAGGAGCTCCGAGAAGTCTTAGATCTACAAAAGCAATATGCACAACTCTCTTCGGAACTGAGTTCCCTGCAACACTCCCTCCAGAATTCTGTCATTTTTTCCCCCAATAGGTCGCAGTTACATCAGAAACCCCTGAAAAAGATCAGAGCCAGTGCTAGAGATAGAAAATCTAACAAGGCACAGCCCATGATATTCCCTGTTATGACCCGGTCTCGTCAGCCTGACTCCTCACACAACGACCCCAAGGAAGTTTCTGCCAGTGAAGGGGAGGGAGATGAAGAAAGTGAGGAAGAAGGGGAAGAGGACGAGGGAGAGGGGGAGGGACAGGATAGGAAAAATAGAAGAAGAGGAATGGGCAATTGGAAAAAAGGAAGGACAGCGGTTAGAATATAGGAGATTGCAGTTCAAAGGGATTAAGGATCTTAACGCCGCCGTCAAGTCCTATGGTCCTAACGCCCCGTTCACCCTCTCAGCTCTTGAATCTATGTCCCGCGGAGGATATCTCTTGCCGGCAGAATGGCTTCGTGTAGTACAGGCAGTCCTTTCAAGGGGGCAGTTCTTGACATGGAAAGCAGATTTCTTCGACCGCTGCCAATCCATGGCTACAGCCAACCAAAAATCCCCTGGCTCCCCCGCTTTAAAGTGGACTTATGAGAAGTTGAGTGGTCAAGGGAAATACGCAGAGGAGGCCAAACAACGCTGCCTCCCAATAGGCCTCTTGGCGCAAACCGCCAATGCTGCATTCGCGGCTTGGCGTGCCTTGCCCACTTCTGGATCCCCCCTTGCTCCGCTTAATAAGATCGTACAAGGAACTCAGGAAGATTTCTCTGAGTATGTTAGTAGGCTCTTGGAAGCAACTGAACGAACCTTAGGGCAAGAAGCGTCTAATGATCAGCTTGTGAGACGCTTAGCATATGAAAATGCTAACAATGCCTGTCGGTCTGCCTTACGCGGGAAGTGGAGAGATAAAACATTAGAGGAAATGATACGTATGTGCAGAGATGTAGATCCCTTCACTACCAAAATGTCCCAGGCCGTACATCTGGCCATAGGGGCAGCTCTCCAAACCGGGGACTCCCAAAAGGCATGCTTCCGGTGTGGTCAACCTGGCCATTTTGCCCGACAGTGCCCTAGTGCCCCTGACACTCCCTCCGCTCCAATCAGCAATAAGGCTTCCCAACCCTCCACCCTCTGCCCTCGGTGTAGGAAAGGGAAACACTGGGCAAATACCTGCCGCTCAACTACAGACGTTCATGGCCACCCTTTACAGGGAAACGGTCGGAGGGGCCAGCCCCGGGCCCCCCAGTCGACCCCTTTGTTCGGGCCTCGGGGATCAGCCAGTCCACACCCCACTCCACATCCCACTCTTCAGAGCCACTGCAGGAAGCGCAGGGGTGGACTTGTGTGCCGCCTCCACCTCAGTATTGACTCCCGAGGGTGGCGTCCATATTATTCCTACAGGCATCTTTGGCCCCCCGCCCCCTGACTTCTATTTTTTCATCCTTGGTCGCGCCTCCGCTACTATTAATGGCCTCATGATTCACCCCTCCATTGTGGATAGTGATTACACGGGGGAAATTCAGATACTTGCCTCAACCCTGAAAGGGCCCCTCACTGTCCGTCAGGGACAACGCCTTGCGCAGGCTCTCCCGCTCCCCCTACAGACTCCATACCCTGCTCTCGCCACTGTTAGAGGCCACTCCAAGCCTGGTTCCTCAGACATCTATTGGGTCCAGGCCATTTCCCAAGACCGCCCCATGCTTACGCTTTTTATTCAAGGCAGGCTTTTTGAAGGAATATTAGATTCAGGAGCTGACTCGACTGTTATCTCAAAAGACAGTTGGCCATCTTCGTGGCCCCTTCAACCATCCATGACACACTTGCAGGGCATAGGTCAATCCCACAATACCCTACAGAGCTCTCAATGGCTGCCTTGGCAAGACAAAGAAGGAAATAAAGGGACTGTTCGGCCTTTTGTGATCCCCGGCTTACCTGTCAACTTATGGGGAAGGGACATTCTTTCACAGATGGGGGTAATTATGTGCAGCCCAAATACCGTTGTGACCCGTCAAATGCTCTCCCAGGGATTTCTCCCAGGGCAAGGATTAGGCAAGAAAGGTCAAGGGCAACTGTCCCCCATTGTTGCTGAAGGGAGAAAAGGACGAGCAGGCCTTGGTTGTGAGAGCCCAGATAATCAGAACCATTTTTCGTGAGGGCCACGGGTCCTCCTGCACTCCAGGCAGATAGGATCTCGTGGAGAAATGACCTACCCGTCTGGGTAGACCAGTGGCCCTTACCCAAGAAAAAACTGGAGGCAGCGCTTGCTTTAGTGCAGGAGCAACTAGCTGCAGGTCACATAGAACCATCTACATCCCCGTGGAACACGCCCATTTTTGTTATCCAAAAAAGATCAGGTAAATGGCGACTCTTACATGATTTACGGGCCGTCAATAAAACTATGATTCCTATGGGGGCCCTTCAACCTGGGCTCCCCTCCCCTGTAGCCATACCGCAAGATTTTTCTAAGATTACAATTGATCTTAAGGATTGCTTCTTTTCCATTCCCCTCCACCCTTCCGATTGTCAGCGCTTCGCTTTTAGTGTTCCTATTACCAATTGTGTGGGCCCTTCTCCGCGCTTTCAGTGGAAAGTTTTGCCACAAGGCATGGCTAATAGCCCTACGCTGTGCCAAAAATATGTTGCCCAAACAATTGATCCTTTCCGCTTGCAGTATCCCAAGCTTTATATTATCCATTATATGGACGATATCCTCCTTGCAGGACCAAATAATGAGGAATTGACTCAGGTATCACAGGAGCTCATTAAGGCGTTGGAATATCGGGGCCTTAATATTTCCCCTGATAAAGTGCAAACCTGCCCCCCCCAGCTGTTCTTGGGATTTGAACTCTTGACGAATCGCATTCTCTCCCAGAAGGTTCGCCTACGAGTGAGTCACCTTTGCTCCCTTAATGATTTCCAAAAATTACTGGGAGAATTGAATTGGCTTCGGCCATATCTTAAGATCACTACAGGGGAACTGCGACCCTTGTTTGATATTCTTAAAGGAGACTCCGATCCAAATTCACCCCGCTCTCTCACGCCGGAGGCCCGTAAGGCCCTTGCCTTAATTGAGCAAGCCATTCATGAACAACATATTGGCTATTACGCTCCTCAAAAACCTCTTTGGTTCTTAATTTTTTCCACCACTTTTTCTCCCACTGGATTGTTATGGCAGGGACATCCGTTATTCTGGATTCATATGCCAGCCACACCTACAAAGATCCTTTCTTCCTACCCGCATTTAACGGCAGGGCTCCTGCGCCTCGGCCGAGAGGCAGCCCTTCGACTTTTTGGTCGAGAACCAGATCATATTGTTTGCCCCTACACTGCTTCGCAGATTCAATGGCTGCTTCAGAATGATGATGATTGGGCAGTTAATTGCATTTCCTATATGGGAGCTATAGACAATCATTATCCCTCAGATAAGCTCATTCAGTTCTTTCAGAAAACACCCGTGGTCTTCCCAAGGATCACCAAAGCGGAGCCCATAGAGAGCGCCCATTTGGCGTTCACTGATGGCTCCGCCACAGGGAAGGCAGCCTTTAGTGTTGATGGACAGGTCACCTCTTTTGACACCCCTTTCACCTCCGCGCAGCTGGTAGAGCTCGCAGCGGTCATTAAGGTTTTTGAATCTGTCTCGGGCCCCCTCAATGTTTATACTGATAGTTCCTATATTGCACAGTCAGTCCCTCTATTGGAAACCGTCCCGTATATCCGTCCCTCCACTAATGCGTCTCCTCTTTTTGCCACTCTTCAGCTTCTAATTCTCTCCCGCGATCACCCCTTTTTCATTGGTCATATTCGTGCCCATTCCGACCTCCCCGGTCCTCTTTCTGAAGGGAATGATCAGGTTGATCAAGTAACTCGTCGCATTCTGCTTGCTCTGTCTGCCTCCCCTGTTGAGGCTGCCACACAAGCCCACAAGCTGCATCACCTGAATGCCCATACGCTTCGTCTCAAGTTCCCTATAACCCGGGAACAAGCCAGACAGATTGTGAAACAGTGCCCTGGTTGCCTGACCCTCCTTCCTGAACCTCATAATGGCATCAATCCCCGAGGTCTTATCCCCGGGGAACTTTGGCAAATGGATGTCACTCACTATCCCCCTTTTGGTCGGCTTAAATATGTTCATGTGTCCATTGATACCTTCAGTGGCTTCATTTTTGCCACCCTGCAACCTGGAGAGGCCACCAAACATGTCATTAATCACCTCCTTAGTGCCTTGGCGGTCCTCCCGCAGCCCAAAATTCTTAAGACAGATAATGGCCCTGGTTATACCAGTTCTTCTTTCAGATCTTTTTGTACACAGTTGCATATTAAGCATGTTACTGGTATACCCTATAATCCTCAAGGGCAAGGAATTGTGGAAAGGGCCCATCAGACACTGAAAAACATGATCCTGAAATTACAATCAGGGAGGGAAGTTCTTTATCCCAGAGCTGGCAATGCCAAAACATTGCTCAATCACGCTCTTTTTGTTTTAAATTTTCTCACTCTGGACACTGCGGCAAAGAGTGCCGCAGACCGCCTTTGGCATTCCACTACGGCCCAAACCTACGCTCAGGCAAAATGGAAAGATCCCCTGCTTGGCAAATGGCAGGGCCCTGATCCTGTGTTAATCTGGGGCAAAGGCCATGCTTGTATTTATGACTCAAAGTGCCAAAATGCTAGATGGTTGCCTGAAAGGCTGATTAGGTTGATGGACAAGCCAGAAACTCATAATGCCGTCCAGGGAACCACACCCCCCTGAGACACCTCTGTTTTCTTTCTCTGTTTTACAGAAAATGACGATCCTCGTAATTTTCCTCCTGTTCCGTGGGAGCCACGGTGGTTTTCAATCTCCTGACCCAGTAGCGCTCAGCCGTGCCCTCTTTGGAAGCCCTTGTGACTGCGGCGGGGGCACGTTCACTGTCCGTCCCGCCACCTACACGCAAGAAGTGGACTGCGGGGAAAAGACAGCCTACCTCGCCTACCGTCATTCTATCACGGGCGTCTCCAAACCCAAGTGGGAATGCGTAAGGAAGCCCCGAGTTATCCCTCCGAATGGTGGCCAGCCCGGGCCTTGCCCCAGTGATTGCAACTACCTTGAGGCCTTGCACTCCACATGCTATAGTTCTACCCAGCAGTGCAGTGGCAGCTCAGGAACAGTCTATCTTACTACAATACAGGAAAGAGAATATGGTGGCTCCACAGGAGGGGACTGGGCGCATATAACTAGCCAAGGCCTACGTGGAAGTACCAATAAGTATGCTCAGGCTTCCTGTCGTAAAGAAAATATTGGAAAAAATGTCTGTTGGCCCCTTCATGCACCTGTCCATATCTCTGATGGGGGTGGCCCTACAGACCAAATTAGGGAACATGAGGTTAGGGAACGAATAAATGAAATAATTAAGAGTATGTATCCCCCCATCCATTACCATCCACTTGCACTGCCCAAACCCGGGGAACGGACCTAGATGTCCAAACTTCAGAAATCCTTGAAGCAACACTTAAGGCCCTTAATTACTCTAACCCTGATTTGGCTGCCGATTGCTGGCTGTGTATGGCCCTTGGCACACCTATGCCCATAGCTTTGATGTCCAAAAATGGCTCCACATCCACAAATTGCACACTTAGTCCACCTTTTAAGGTACAACCTGTTGGTCTCCGCCCCTCTCCTTGTATCCAAGCCCCATTTCAGAATTCCACTGCTGATATTGATGTTGGTTTGCTACCTTTGCTAATTGCTCTGAAGTCAAAAACTATACCTCACAGGAACCTCTCTGTCCCCTGCCGGGACAACTTTTCGCCTGTGGGGGAAATATGGCCTACTCTGCTCTCCCCCAGAATTGGACAGGACTCTGCACACAAATTTCAATCCTCCCTGATATCGACATCATTCCGGGAGATGAGCCTGTCCCACTGCCCAGTTTTGATTATATTACTGGAAGACCCAAGAGGGCTGTTGCATTTATCCCCCTCCTTGTTGGCCTTGGGATTACAGGGGCACTCGCTACCGGCTCTGCCGGCATAGGAGTTGCTGTTGATTCATATACAAAACTATCCCATCAATTTCTTAATGATGTGCAAACCCTCTCGGGGACGATAAATGACCTTCAAGACCAAATTGACTCCCTGGCGGGAGTCGTTCTTCAGAATAGGAGGGGCCTAGATTTACTCACGGCAGAACAAGGGGGAATTTGCTTAGCCCTACAAGAAAAATGTTGCTTCTATGCAAATAAATCTGGGATAGTGCGGGATAAAATCAAAAAACTGCAAGAGGATCTGATTGAAAGACGCAGAAAACTTTTTGAAAATCCCCTCTGGAGTGGCTTGAATGGAGTCCTCCCATACCTCCTCCCTCTTCTTGGACCTTTAATTGGTCTCCTCCTACTTTTTTCTTTTGGACCTTGGGCCTTTACCAGACTAACCTCTTTCATTAAGACGCAGATTGAGGCTTCTCTTAAAAACACCGTCAATATCCATTACCACCAACTTGCTTCGTCAGAAGATCCTACTGATACCATGGAAGAGGGTCTCCAGTTCTCGAAGCTCGTGCATCCGGAATCTCGCTGCTCGCGGTGGTGGAGAAATATTAAGGATAAAAAGTGATCTGGCAGCTGTGAGAGAGCCCATGACGGGAATATTGAGGTCCCATGTTTCAAAAAAAGATCAGCGCGGCTGCAGTTGTTTCCCCATGACGGGAATAGAGTGAGGCCATGATGGGTTACATCGTGGGGTCCCCTCGCTTAGCCTAAGACAGGGACCACTGCCACTAATGCGCTTTGAACATGGAGGCCGACCTCATAGCCTAAGACAGGCCTCTCACCTGCTATTTTAAATACAAAATGGGGGACATGCTGGAGGCCAGCACCTGGTAGTGGGCCCCTAACCCCGTGAGATTACCACACCCCAAGCAGCTTGTTCCGGGACAAACCGTACCATAACGTGTTCCTGTCAGGGCTAACCGCAAGATGTCGCCACACCGCCCCTGGAAAGTCCCGGAGGCCCATTTTCCCCTTTTGCCCCTCCCCGCTTTTGCCCTATATAAGCTTGTAACGCTCAAAAATAAAATTAGACCTTGCCTACCATCCTTTTGGTCTCACTCCTCCTTTTCACCCATTCCCTTCAGCCAGGGTCCTCCTCGACCCCCCACGTATACTGGCCCTGCAGGTCGGGGCAATGAATGCATCAGAAGATCTATATGAACTGATGCTAAAAGCAAAGTAAGCCGAACCAGGAAAATAAGATGTGTGATGATGACAACAATGTAAATGGATGGAATAAAAATGAAATTGAAAATGAATGCTTGACATGATAACCAAGCTTGACCCCACAAAAAGATGTGAAAAGACACCCACTTCCTTTCTTTGAAGAGATCAAAGACTACGGGTGTGCACCAGCACATATAATGTTAAACTTTTTGGATATAGTTAGTTTTGCTAAATTAGTCTTCTTCCTCTTTTTATTTTAATTCTTTGTCATAAGAGATGGCTGGGGTAAGGGAATAGGAAAGATGGATATATTGAAAAATGTAAATAATAATGAAGAATAAAGAATGACAATATTAATACTAATACATTTAAATAATAAAAACATAATATATAAATTTTTTAAATTAAAAAAAAGAGAGAAATGCACAACTAGAGCTTTCTGTGTGCACCAGGAGTATATAACTAAATAAATAATAGCTAGCACTCACATAGCACTTTATGAATATTCTCTCATCTGATCCTTACAACAACCTTGGGAGGTAGGTGTTATTATTACCCTCATTTTAAAGATGTGGAAATTTAGGCAAATACAGGTTAAGTGATTTGCCCAGGGTCACACAACTGGTGTTAAGTAAACTCTGGTTTTTCTCTCTACATTCAACACCCGATCTACTTCGCCACCTAGTGGACTAAAAAAAAAAGAAAACCATTTATTCTTCATTTTTGTTGTTTGTTGTTGTTGGTTTGTGGGTTTATAAATATTTGCCTGGGTTAGGCCATTTAAGTAGATCATTGGCAAATCTAATCTCTCTTCCATATGGTAGCCCTTTAAGCATTTTAAAAGAATTACCACATTCTCCTATGTCTTCTCTTTTCCACTTCCTTCCACTGATTCTCTGATGACAAGAGAATCCCCATGCTGGCCACCTTCCTCAGACTGTCCTAGACCCATAACTTCATTGGTGTAGGGAACTCCTGGTAAGAAAATTCCTACCAGAACAGACCTGCAACTGTTCTGTGACTTCTACTCTTGGAGGGCTGCCTAGGGCACTTAAAAGTTGTGATTTTCCAAGGTCTCACACACACACACACACACACACACACACACACACACACACATTTTGGAGGCAGAAACTGAAAGGCTGGCTAGCTACTCAATAGTACACCCTACCTCTCTTTCCTTGTCCTTCCTAAAATATGGTGCTCAGAGCTGAACACAGATCCCCAGATATGGTCTCGTTAGGCAAAGTAGTACTCTTCATTTTCTTAATTCTAGACACTACACAGCCTGAGAGTGCATTCACTTGGGAGTGGAAGAGCAAAAACTATTAGTGGAAATTTAGACAATGTAAAGAAAAAAGAGATCAATAAATTTTTTTTAAACTTTTTGGGTGCCATATCATCCCATTGACCTATATTGAGCCATTGCCTAGACACATTCCCCGATAATTGTGCAGTTTTGTTATTTAAAAAAAAAAACTAATCATCCTCTTTTTTTTCCTTATCCTCATTATAGTACTTTCTAAAAAGCAATCTGGAGTAGTGTGTAAAAAGCTGGACTCTGAGTTAGAAAGACCTGGGGGCAAGTCCCATCCCTCCCCCTGCCCCAGCCAACTTTCAATTTTTAAATTTCTTTTTCTTAAAATACAGAACTTTATTTGGAAACTGTTAAAAGTTTAAAAAAAAACTATCAAGAAAGACCAGGTTTCTGGTGGTAGATCCCAGAAACTTTCTAAGACTATAAAGTTCATCCAAGTTGCTGATCTATACTGGCAGACTGTTTCTTCTTCTGATTTTTCCTTATACCAATGAAATCTCAAGTCTGGACCATAATATTTTATAGTCATCCTGATTAATTTTCATCATTATTCTGGCTGGTTAAGGTCTTTCTGGATCCCATTCTATCATCCAAAAGAATTAATCAACCCTTCCAACTTTATAGGGCAGTTAGGTGATATAGTTAATAGAGTGCCAGCCATGGAGTGCAGAGGACTTGAGTTCAAGTCTGGCCTCAGACACTACCCTGGACAAGTCCTTTAACCCTGTCTGCCTCAGTTTCATCATCTGTAAAATGAGCTGGAGAAGGAAATGGCAAACCACTCCAGTATCTTTGCCAAGAAAATCCCAAATGGAGTCACGAAAGAGTTGGACACAACTCAGAACAATTGAACACATCCAACTTTATGTCATCTAGGAATTTGGAAGGCATGCTATTGATTCCCTTCATCCACGGCACTGATGAAAATGTTGAACGGAAAAGAACACTCAGAGTGAATGAAGGCAGAGGAAATGAAGTTTGGCAGTCAAAGGAAACAGAGGAGCAGGCTAAGCAACTCAAGGTTAGCATTTAAGAATATAAAATACAAGAGGATAATGCTTTGTAATGTTTGACTAGATGTTTTTTTGTTTTTGGTTTGCTTCAGAAATTATATATTTTGACCAAGGCCTAATAATGGTAACTGCTGGTATTTCTTTATGTAGCACATTTGGGTTTGCAAACCTTATACGTGCATTATTTCATTTAATTGTCCCAACAGCTTTTGATGTAGGTGCTATGTGGCTTGGGCCTACCCAAAGGATAGTATTAATCTAAATCCAAGCCTTTGGGCTTGGAATAAAATTAAGCAAGCACAGCCAAAGATGCTGAGAAATAATGACAGAGACCTATGTGTACCACGAGGTAAAAATCTTGGAATTCACAGCCCATTTCACATCTGTGGTACTCTTTCCCAGAATGCACAATGAGATTAAATGCACACCATTTTTATTATCACACAAGGGAATCTGGGAATATAAATTATATAGAGAGTTCATAAATTACTTCTACAAAGGTCAACGAAAAGATATGGCTCTGAATTCAGAGAACCCGAGTTCAAATCCCACCTTATGATCTGTGAAACCTTGGGCAAGACCCTTGTCTTCCAGGACCTCAACCCCTATGACATGAGGGTCTTGGGCTAGATGGCTCTGAAGTCCCTTCAGGCTTTAGATGTAAGATCCCATAATTCTACATAGGCCATGTAATTTAATTAGCATGGCATACGTTTGAAGCATTAATCCATCAATTCTAATTTTTCTCTGCTTCATTGCATGAGAGATGGTTAGAGAGCCGGACCAGGTAACTTGGGTTCAAATTGTGCTTCCAATACTTTCTGTATGACAATGGATAAGTCATCTACCGTCTCGGGGCCTCAGTTTCCCCATATGTAAAATGGAGAAAATAATCCCTGAAGGATTTTTGTTAGGAAAGCATTTTGCAAGCATTAAGTCACTATACAAATGGAGGGAAGGGGGAAGTTTATGACTCCTTCATTAACTATTTATTTGTTTTTCTGTATTTTATTGATCCTTTGTTTCTAAATTACCTTCATTTCCAGATTTCTTACCTCTACCCCTTCCTAGGGAGTCATCCTCCCTAATGAGAAGACAGAGACATACAGAGGCACAAAGTAGTTCAACAAAGCTAATCAACCTGTCAAATTAAGTCTGGCAGTGCTGAACCTGAAGTCTGAAGAACTTGAATTCAGATCCTATTTCAGATTTTTACTGGCTATGTGACCCTGAGCAAATTACCACCTCCCCAGGACTCAATTTCTTCACCTATTAAAAAAAAATTGGACTTAATGGTTTGTAAGCTTCTTCCTAGCTCTAAATCTATAATCCTATGACTATATTCAATGTTTCACACTCATAGTTCCTACCTCTGCAAAGGGAGAGTGGTAGAATTTCTCATCTCTCCTTCAGACCCAAGGCTGAGTTATTATTATTGCTCAGTAATAAGTTCCTTCTCTGGACAAAGCCTTTGGAAGATGCTGTGTTCTGGGGTGGCTGGGTTTTTTGCTTTTGTTTTGGTTACTTTCAACCCTCTTTACTCCAAAGTTCAGTCATTTCCTTCAGGTCTCTTTAGGTTCTGGGCAGGTTTTCTACCCCTTCAGATAAGAACTCATCTCCTCTCAGCCACCTGAAGTGCTGACTCAGTCAGTGGTCCCCGGATTATGCATTCATAAATCCCCTGTTTCCACAGTTCTTCTACTGCAATCAGGGAGACTACTGATCTGTGAAAGGAGAGCAGGAAGGCAAACCTGATGTAGAGAGCTAAGAAGGCAGCAGCTTTACTCCTACTCAGAGGTTCAGAGAGGCCGAAAATGACTCCTATCATATCCAACTCTTTGTGAAGACTTTTCTTGGCAAAGATAATGGAGTGGTTTGCCATTTTCTTCTCTAGCTCATTTTTTTTGTTTTTGTTTGTTTGTTTTTGTTGGGCAATGGGGTTAAGTGACTTGTCCAGGGTCACATAGCTAGTAAGTGTTTATGTCTGAGGCTGCATTTGAACTCAGGTCCTCCTGAATCCAGAGCTCTATCCACTGCGCCACCTAGCTGCCCCCTCCAGCTCATTTTACAGATGAGGAAACAGGGTTAAGTAACTTGCCCAGCGTCACACAGCTAGTAAGTGTCTGAGGCCAGATTTGAACTCAGAAGACTTATGACTCCAGGCACAGCCCTCTATCCGCTGTGCCACCTAGCTGCCTTCCCTGTGTTGGGTCCTGGGAAAGGCCTGGTGAATCAGTTTAGTTTTCCTAAAGCATTATACCACATAAAGTGACCATGCTACCTAATAAACTCCAGCTGTCCCCCTTTGCCCCTGTGATAAGGACTAGACCTGGGATTTCATAGATATAGTGCCAGATGAAGAAATTCCCACTACCAATGCAGGTCTTCACCTTCTCCCAAAATTTATAGTCTTAGACAGTTGCCTTGGACACAGAGAGGTTGAGATTTGCTCAGGGCCACGTGGCCAGATGGCCACTAGATGGCGAAGTGGATAAAGCATTGGACTTTAGAGTCAGGAAGACCTATGTTAGAATCCAACCTCAAATAC